AAAAGGAATTTGAAAGAAGAAAGAAAAAAGAAAAGATCGGCGTACCCCTTCTGCCCCTTGTAAACATCCGGCAAAACAAGGGGAGTAATACGTCTTGCCGTCGTCGCCGCAGATGGGGAAGTAACTGTCGTCTTTACAGTGACACTGGCCGCCGCAGCTGACGTCATCAGAGTCGGAGCTGATGGGAGACAGGGTTGTTGTTGTTGTTTGTTGTCGTTGTTGTTGTTGTTGTTGTTGAGGTCTGTTCTGTTGTTGTTGTTGTTGTTGTTGTTATTGTTGTTGTTTTTTGTTGCTGTTGTTTGTTGTTGTTTGTTGTTGTTGCTGCTGTTGTTGTCGTTGTCGTTGTTGTTGTTGCTGTTGTTATTGTTGTTTGTTGTTGTTGTTGTTGTTGTTGTTGTTGTTGTTGTTGTTATTGTTGTTGTTGTTTTCTGTTGTTCTTTTGTTGTTCAGTTGTTGTTGGTGGTGGTGTTGTTGTTGTGATGATGGTGATGATGCGGGTGCTGTTTTGTTGTTTCTGTTGTTATTGATATTGTTGTAGAAGTTGTTGGTGTTGAAATTGATGAGGCTGGTTTTGCCATTGTTGTTGTTGTTGTTAGTGTTGATGTTAGTTTTTTTGTTATTGCTGTTGTTTCAGTAGCTGTTGAAAATATTAAATTTAACATGCTACTGGGCTAGATTCGAGACAATACTCCAAACTGTTATCAATTATTTTTTCTTTAATAACAATGTTTCCACACTCCCATGGACATAAATAAAGAGAGGGATGAGAGGAGAAAGAGAGCAAGATAGACCCAAACAAATATATAGATAGACAGATAGATAGATAGATAGATAGATAGATAGATAGATAGATAGATTGATGGATTGATAGATAGATAGATAGATAGATAGATAGATAGATAGATAGATAGATAGATAGATTAGATAGATTAGATAGATAGATAGATAGATAGATAGATAGATTTCTCTGATCGCGCCGTACAGTTATAGTTCTAGGCACCAACCATGGGCTATCCGATGACAACCCACACTATAATAATATCTCAAACATCGTAAAGTATTAAACATAGCTCGAAAACGGAGTACAACGTGTATCGTGTTACTCACCCAGGCCCTAAGTGCACCTCTGGTTGGTCACATTTAAACCAAAACCCAGCCAGACTGGTGAGTAGAGACATGATGAGGACAAAGATGATAAACTTCAGCCCTTTCAACGGAGTCAGCTTCATGCGCTTTGTCAAATATCCCCCTGCGAACGTTCCGATGCAAGCGGCCGAGAGCGTTTTGCCAGCTGTAGACAGAAAATTTTATGTCTTTGAAACTTAGAAGCTAAAAGAATATTATTGTGGGATCGTATCAAGGAAGAAGACAGTAAAAGTTCAAAGAGACATGGTTACCCCCTCCCCTCCCCCCCT